GTTAACCAAAACAGTTGGTATAATTGGGCAGTACCTGAAATGATGGATCAATGAAATGCTGTGAAACAAAACAACACTAAATTCATCCTCATAGATATGACCGCATAACTCAGAACACTGTTTTCATCGCTCACAGCGCCTTTAAAAAAAAATTTTTTTTTTTTCACATAAAACTGCTATAGAAAAGCAACAACAAGAGATGCGCTTTTTCAACCCTGACTAACTAGAGTAAAATTAACTTATTCCCGCGGAATTCTCGGCTTGAAAATGATTTTACGAAGATTTTGCAGACTAGATACTGCTGCAAAAGGAACAAGGTGTTGATAACAAGGGAACGAAGCCAGCTACCGGCTAAACTCCTTCGCCTTGCCCAGTTACCCTTCAATTCCATGTGATATGCAAATGTCCCGTCCCCTGACCCGAGTTCTCCCTCCGTGATATGTGATGATGTAATCAGAAATGAAATCCTGATTGTTTTTGTGAGCCAAAGAATTGTGCGATGGCAACTTGGAACTGTTACTGGATCTTTTGCGGTTTGTGAGTTTTTTTGTGCTTGTTTTGATAAAACTTTATTAATCTGGGCGAGTGCCTTCCTCCCTCACAGCCGCGCAAGCCCTCCGGTCCTCCTCCGTGCGTTACACACACATTTCTAAATTGATTAGAAAAATTACCATTCAGGCTCTATTCGTTGGTTTTCTTCGTACAGGAAGCGAAGTACGTTTTCATCAACAGAAGGAAACAGAGCACGCGTAACCGGACTGAAAAACTGTGGATAAAAAACTGGCAAGTTTGTAGCTTTTTTATTTCATTTAATACTACGAACAAAAAATGCTGAAGACCAAGGTATTTCGCTCATATTTTATGGCTCCATTTTAACTATTTTGAACTCTTCAACTACTGTTACAAAAGCATTACAAAATACTGCATGTGCTAACACATAGAAGACTTCAGGCCCCCATCCTCTTCCAACCTCCTAACCAGGGATATTCTTTGTTTGTATCTTTAAAATTTCTGAAACAATTGGTCTAAAAGGACCAAAATTCTTATCAATTGTTGGTTTTTTTAGCCTTAGTGTAATTTTAATTTTAGATGTGTATTTATGCAAAAAGTAAGGGTTAAAAAGAATAAAAGGAAGGTGAGAAGCTAAATCGGATTAAAAAACCTGAATAGGAATGTTTGTCTTTTTGATTGTCGGTACTTCCTGATATCTAATTGTCACCGCTAAGTAGTACTAGGGCTTTTTGCAAATTCTATTACTGAGATATGCCATCGCGGATAAGACTAACTAAAACGGTCTACGCTTTTAAAACTATGCTACACAAAACGTAATGTAGTGTCTTCTCGGCCTACATGTAACTTGCTCAAATATAAAAAAAAAGTTTTGTTTTCCCAAAATCGTAACTAATCATACGACTGGGTCGAATTTTTGCATAAAAATGAAACCATATCGTAGCAAAATCTTTAAACTTACTTTAGTTGAGTGAAAATATAACGCGGACTGGCGCTATCTTTGCCGCCTTGCAACCGTGTTCCGAATTGACCAATTGGAAGCAACAAATTTATGTTATTCGAACCAACGTAATCTTGCGCCAAATTTACTATCGTTGACATCAGTGAAGCCTAAATTTCACAACAAAATAGCTGGGAAACTAAAAAAAACCTCCTGTACAAAATCTGGCAAAAAAGAAAGCCGTAACGTACCTCGCCGTGATGATAAGCGGACATTTCACCAACGGCACCTGCAAGCTGCGCCACTTTCACTTCTTTTTTATCCGCTCGTTTGAAACACGTGAATAAAACCTGCAAACAAATGTATTAGCGAACAAAAGTTTTATTTTTGCATAAAAGAGGAAGTTCCAAAAGCAGAAATTTCGCAAATATATGCCTATGATCATTTCAATCCACTGAAAATTTAGGAAAAATAATTGGCCAACGCACGGGCTGCCCGTGCGAAGATGCGTTTTTTGCACAGTTCCCCGCAGTTTTTGCTGCTACCGGCACCGGCTCTTTCGGCAAATGCTTCTAGCTAAAAAAATTAAGACTGGCCGCCAAAACTGTTGGAAAAAACCCC